GCAGGGGAAGGGCCAGCGCTGCTCCCACACTGAGGGGTGGTACCTGCCCCCGACACCCCTGGCCAGAGGCCTGGCCCCCGACCCCACCAACCCCGCCGACTGGCCGCAGAGCTGCGGTCCCCAGCACCATCAGGCCCTGCTCACCCAGGGCCCGCAGAGGAGTGGGGACAGCCCGCCGCCCGCCATCCCAACACCGAGGGCCTGGTCCGTGCAGGCCTCCACTGCCCCGGCCATGGTGGCCCAGTCCAGGGGTGGCCAGGGTCCCAGCCTGTCTCCCATCGGTCTGGGGAGGAGCAGGAAGGAGGGAAATGGGCAGAGAAGATGCCGGACACAGGGCCCAAGGGAGGGAGAGGGAGAGAGGGGTGGGCAGGGACAGGAGGAGCAGGGGAGGGCCAGGGCGTGACAGGGACAGGGGAGGGCCAGGGACAGTGGGGGGCCAGGGTGTGACAGGGACAGTGAGGGACCAGGGACAGTGGGGGCCAGGGCGTGACAGGGACAGTGAGGGACCAGGGACAGTGGGGGGCCAGGGTGTGACAGGGACAGTGGGGGACCAGGGACAGTGGGGGGCCAGGATGTGACAGGGACAGTAGGGGGCCAGGGCGTGACAGGGACAGTGAGGGACCAGGGACAGTGGGGGCCAGGGTGACAGGGACAGTGGGGGGCCAGGGCATGACAGGGACAGTGGGGGAGCTAAGGTGTGACAGGGACAGTGGGGACCAGGGAATGACAGGGACAGTAGGGGGCCAGGACATGACAGGGCCAGTGGGGACCAGGGCGTGACAGAGACAACGAGGACAGCAGAGACAGGAGAGAGGGGGGCCGAGGGGACCAAGATGCAGAGCGACACCAGCTGGGAAGGAAGGAGCCCCAAGAAGGTCCCAGGAACCGGGGGACAGATGGCGGAGAAGCAGCCAGGGACAGGGAACTGGCGGACCTGGGAGGACGTGGGACAGACGGGAGGGGGCGGACGTACAAGGGGAGGGCTGGGCCTGGCAGCTCGGGGGGGACACCACCAGCCAAGACGGGGCCAGGCACCTGCAGCCCAAGGCTGAGTCCCCGGCACAGCCCCGGAGCAGCTGCCCCGCCTGGCCCCCAACCCGGGTGGCCTGACCCCAACCCCAGGGGTCGAGGACAGTGGGGGGACACTGGGCACAGCAGCGCCTCCCCTGCCAGCGCCTTCTCCACCGCAGGGGCCACCTCAGCGCGGGACAAGTCACCCCTGACACCCTCCCTGGGCCCATCTCTCCTGGGGGGACCCAGACTGGCCCCTGTCACCCCAAGCCCACCCTGGGAGCCAGGGAACTCCCCGGGGGCTGAAAGGTGACCCCAAAACGCGAGTCCACCTGGAATCCACAAACATGACCCTCTTGGAAATGGGCCTCTGCAGAGGCCGTGGATGACCCCCTCCCTGCTCCTCCTGCTGCCCCTCGAGCGCGTCCCCCGGAGCCTCCCGCCAGCCTCGCTCCACCTTCTGGGCCACTCCTGGCCGCTGTAGGGCCTCGCTTCCTTCATGGAGTCACACAGTAGGTGCATAGGGAGCCCTGCCAGCCCCTGGTGCCCAGGCATGAGCTGAGACTCCAGGTTACATTGGCCTTCACAAAGGAACCGCCCCACGCAGCTCCCGGGGCCTTGTGCCTCTGGGGCGGGCGGCTGCTTAGTCTCCTCTGAGTCGCGGTCACCTCCACAGTGGGACGCTGCGGGCTGCTCTGCCAGTGAGGGGCGCCTGGCCCAGGCCGGCTGCTCCCGGGGACAGAGGCAGGAGCCACCTGGCCACTGGCTCAGCCACAGCCTCCTGTCCCTCTCGTGCAGGCGTCTGGGTCTGTGACCCTCGAGGAGCACGGGAGGCTCACCCACTCCCCCCACAGTGCTCCCTGGGGGCCTACTGTGCGCTGGCCTTGGATCAGGAGTGGACAGAGATGGCAACAGCGTGGCCCCCACCCGAGCCAGCCAGAGGGGCCTGCTGACCCCACGGGCTCGTCCCCCATCAGAGGCTCCCCCAGGGTTGGCAGCCCTGCTTCTGGGCCCAGCGTCCAGTCCTGGGCCAGGCGGCTTCCACCCACTGCCCTCGCCAAGCCCAGCCTCTGCCAGGTTCAGCCCGCGGCCTCCCGGCCTCCACCCAGGCAGAACCCCACCAGGACTGCCCCGGCTCCGTACGAAGGCCACCGCTCTGGGAGCCCTGTTTGAGAGGGCAGGAAGGAGTCCCCACAGCCCCTTCAGGTGAGGTGGGACAGTTCCTGTGGTGACAAACTGGCCCCCAGGGCCTGGGTCCCCTCATCTCGGTAGCCCCAGGGTAGGACAGCAGCAAGCGCTTAGTGACGGTCCCTGAAGGGCAGGCAGCCCGCCCCAGTCCTGCCAAGGAGGAAATCATCCTGGGGTCTCGCATCAGTGAGGCAGAGGGGGGGCACCGCACCAGCCCCAAGGGGGCCCGGGAAGCCAGACCCAGTCCTGGTGGTCGATGATGCCCTGAGAGGTCGCGGTGCAGACAGTCAGACAGACAGACAGAAGGCCTGGGGTGAGGTGAGGCCCCGGGAAGGGACAGTGTGTCTCACAGGAGCGGTGGGTGCTGGAGTCAGATGGCTTGGTCCCAGCACTAGCCAGCTGTGTGATGTTAGGATGGTTATTTAACCTCTCTGTGCTCCAGTCCTTTCACATAAAATGATGATGGTGACATACCTGTCACATGGGTCACTGTGAGGCATGAATGGGGTGATGAGGTGCTCGGAGCCCAGGACACTGTGGTTCAAAACACCTGAGCCGGGCTGCTTAAGGCCATATCAAGTCCAGCCAGCCCAGCTGGCAGGGCAACCGCAGGAAGCCCAGGTGGGCAGCCATCAGGAAGTGGGCAGCTGCCCTGCCAGGCATCTCCTGGCCCACCCAGGGCAGGGTCCACCCACAGGCCCCCAGGGGCGTCATCAGCGGCAGACCGTCTAGAGCACCTGGACACGAGCCGAGGGAAGGAAACAGCAGATCAGGGTCCTCCTCCGTCCCCAGCCTGGCCACTGTCCTCCAGGCCTGGTGGGCTCTCCCCACATGGAGGGGCAGCCACGGGAGGTGGGGTCAGGGGACAGGGACCCCACAGCCAGCAGGAGCAGCCTAGTGCCAAAGGCACAGAGGCGTGCAAAGACGTCACGCCCCGTGAGCCAGGCACAAAACACACGCGTGTGCCCAGCCAGAAAGGGGAGTCACAAAGATGGACCAGAGGGTGTGGGAGGGGGACCGCAGAGACTGCTGTGGGTTCAGGGTTTCACAGGTGATGGACAGGCTCCCAGATGAGAGAGTGATGGCCACACAGCTTTGGGACTTTACTAAAAAGCATCACTTTGAATGCTTGGAAGGAGGGGGTTACAAACCGCAAGCTACTGAAGTACAGGGGGAGGGGGAGAATGAAGGGTGGGGGAGGGGGAGAGAAGGGGTGGGGGAGGGGAGGGGGGCGAAAGGGGAGGGGAGGGAGGAGGGGGAGAGGAGGAGAGGGGGAGGGGGAGGGGAGGGGGAGGGGAGGTGGCCCTGGGAAAGAGTGGGCGGAGGCAAGAGCCCCAGGGCACACTGTGCTCACAGGCTCCATCACCCCTTTAACCCGGGCTCAGCCACTTCCGGAGCTGGAGCTCCCTGGGACAGGTCTGAGGTCGGATCCCAGCTCAGGTCCTGCCCAGCAGCACCCCCACCCCCAGGACCTGCCTCTCCTCCCCTACCGGGCCTCAGCCCTCATGGAGGCCAAGGCCCGCGACAGTAGTGGGAACAGTTCCCTTCTCACAGGCTGCAGTGAGGGACACTGAGATGCCACCAGCCAAGCACCAACAGACTGCAAGGGCTCCTGCAGAGTGGGGACATGCGGGGCCTAAGTCACAAATTCTGTCTCTACATCACAGGGCTCTACGGCCGATCGGTACCTGCCCGCTCCGTGCACACACCTTCCTGAAATAAATGACACAGAGATTTCCCCCAGAAAACAATTTCCTCAGAAGAGAAGGCACGTCATGACAGTAAGGGGGCGGCTGGGCCGTGAGGGCCCTGGGGTGATCCAGCAGAGCTGGGACCTCAGCATCGTGAAATAGAAACCCACCGGGCCGTCGGGAGCAGAGCCATCGAGCTGGGAAGAGGATCCAGAGGGTCAGGGAAGCGCCAGTGTCTCAGTCCCTAATACAGAGGGGGGTGAGAGCTGCAGCCTGACCTCTCCTGGTCATTTCTAGCACTGCAAGGGACGCAGTGCCCCCATCATTTCCAAGGAGGAGGGGAAAGGGAGAAGCAAGGCTGGAAGCACCCAGGGGGCACCCAGGGAATTCCTAAGGCCACAGAGAGGCGGCCCTGGGTTGCAACCAGGCCAAATCACCCCTGTCCCCAGCCTCAGTTATCTGCCAGGGGGTACAAGGATGTCACAAAGGAACGAGTGTGTGAAGGAAGACCTCCAATACCCAGTGTACTGAGGGCAGCTGGGTGTGGCCCAGCCATCCACCTGTCACCTGTCACCACGGGTGTTTACATTAAAAAATTTGTGTGTGTGTGTGTTTCAACATATAAACGGCGAGACTCCATGTGAAAATTAAGATCTTCAGTTTGGCTTGAAAAATCAGATGAACGAGCTGACCGGGCCACTCTGGGCAGGGCAGGGAGCAGCTAGTCGGTGGCCCTCCTCCCGCTTGTCCATCAGGAAATCCCCAGCCCAGGCCAGCCCGGCCCCTGAGGGCAGCTTCTGAAGCCTGGTCCGCAGGAAGAGGACCTCAAGGCCATTCGGAAGCCCCAGGCGCCCAGGGCGCTCTGAGGGGGCCACCATTTAGGAAGCAGGGGTCAGGGCTTCCGAGGCCACCTGGGGTGCACCTGGTTTTGGACTCTGCTCTGGGACCGCTTTCTCCACCCCAGCTCCCCGCCTCCTCTCTGCTCAGCAACGGGGGCACTCGGGGCGCCCGCCCAGGGACCCTGCCGCAGAGACAACAGATCACTCCCAGACTCGCGCAGGCGGGTCCCCAGCCCTGTCCCTTCCTGCCTCCGCCTGGTCAGCTCCTCACCTGTCCAGCAGCTGAACCTGGAGCCTTTCTGGCCTCTACACCTCTCGCCCCCGTGGGGGTCTGTCTCTGCAGGTGGCTGCTGACTCCGACACTCACAGCCCCTCGGCTCTGGGCTGACGGCTCCTGAGCCAGAGTCAGGGCCCTGCGATCCTGCAGTTCTGGGCAGGGCCAGGGGCAAGGAGCCTAGAGGACAGCAAACCAGCAAGTCATTAATAAGCTGCTCTAGGGAGGGGTGGAGAAGAAATTAAACAAGTGGGAGGGGTTATGCAGACGACAGGGCAGGTGTTGAGGAAAACCACAAAGGGGAAGAACCCAGACACCCATCAACCAGCAATGGGGGAGCCAATTGTGGTAGTGTTTCTACTGTAGAATATTACTCAGCCACGAAAAAGGAATGCCAACTGGAAACTACCACACAAACAGACTGAAAACACCATCCCAGGTGAGCAGCCACTCAGGAGAGCTGCATGGTATGATTCCAGCTTGATGGAATATCTAGAATAGGCAACTCCAGCCAGGTGGACAGGCAGACCTGACTGCCCAAGGCTAAGGGAAGGGGCTACTGGGAAGTGACAGGGGTGGATATGGCATTTCTTTTCGGGATCATTCATTCACTCCACAAATCAGTGATATGCGCCTACTCTGTGCTGGGTGAAGTGCCCTGTGTCCCTGCCTCTCAGGAGCCTCCACTCTGATGGGCGGGGGAGCAGACACCAGGTGATAGAGAGGCCACCGGGACCGGGCTCTTCTATGGACGCGGAGCTGAGGGCTGGCATCTGGGCTGAGATGCCCAGAGAGGACGCCTCCCTCAGCGGTTTCAGCCAACAGCCCGGGAGCCCAGCCCAGAGGCAAATGGAGAGGCCCCAGGTGGTCCAGCTCCATATGGTGCCCTGCAGAGTTCATGACTCTCACACCTGGTGGCTGTGACACCCTGGGTTTGCAGGTGGCTCCTTCTAAACCACACCAGGAAGGATTCCTCCTTCACTGACACGTTGCTAGTGAACACTTTCTCCCCCCCCCCACTCTGCCAATCAAAGCCCCAGAGCACAGGTTCCAGGCTGTGTCACCGCATATCCCTGGAAGTGCGGTGCCCAGACGGCCCGGGCAGAGGGACTCCTGAAGCAGAAAGCCAGAGACCACATTCTGGGTGGCATCGCAGAACAGAAAACGGACCCTAGGTTAGAACTGTGGATACACTGACACACTCTTCAGGTAACAGGAAAGCACCAATATCGGCACCCAACGCACTACCCAACGCACCCAGGACGTGACACAGGGCGGTGGGGGAGACTGCGTGGGGGGACTCTATAAATTCTTCTGTAAACGTAACTGTTCTGGAAAAGTAAGATCTATTTGGAAACTACGCCTGCCCCAGACATTCTCACTTCCTCTCTGGGACAGCAAGGCGTGGAAGGGCTCTGTACCCACTAACTGAGGAGGAAAGCCAGGCCTTGAGAAGCCAGGGTAATAGTCAGAAAGGGAGATTTTTTTAAACCATGGATTTGGTTGATTTTAAAATATATTTTGATTTGGAGAATCATGAAGAAGACCTTCCCAAACATCTTCTAGGGTGAGCCTGTGTGTGTGTGTGTGTGTGTGGTGCCTCCAACCAGGACCCCACCTTCGCGACCGTGCTCCTGGCAGACCCCACTAATGGACCCCATCTCCCTCTGAGCCCTTTCTAACACAGGGACCCCGTGGGCACGGTCTATTGATGGGAGTTGGCCCAGGTCCTGCCTTGCTGAGCAGGTGGCAGGTGGGTCCCTGGGGGGAGATCTGTCCAGCCCCTGGGGCTCCTGGTCACGGGGAAGCAGTCTGTGGCCTGCAACTCTTGGATTCCTGGCGTGGTGAGGCCGGCATGATGGCAAATTCCCATCCAGGCCCAGAGGCTGAGCCTGTCGGGCTCGCCAGGGCCACTCCAGCAGCTTCCTCTCCCGGTGCCGGCAGCCAGGCGGCCTTCAGAGTCCTCCTCCCGGCGCAGCAGGTGACCCTGCCTGGCCTCTGGCCCTCCAGTGCGCCCACCCCCTACAGAGCCACGCCCAACGACCGCGCCAATCCGAGCGCAGCTCCCCAGAGCCCGCCGTGTCCCCTCCCACCCTCCAGCCCCGGGAGCGCCAGGCTCCCCCTCCCACAGGCGGAGCTGATCTGGAAGCCGGGTCTGGCACCCCTGGCCCTCAGTCACTTCCCCACACAAGGCTGCCACGGCGGGTTACGAGGTACGATCCCATGGATAAGGGGCACGGGAGGCCGCTGCAGCCCCTCCAAAGTCCCCACCGAGCCAACTCCGCAAAGCACGGCAGCGGCTGAGTCTCCCCTGCGGAAAGCGCTGGGTGGAACCTCAGTGGATGCGACTCTGCGACGACAACCGCGCTGAGCCTCCCGAGTGCTAAGGAGCGGCGCGATGTCAGTCGAGGATGAGCCCCAGCAGGCAGCGTTTCCGGGGCTGTGTGACAGCAGGACACACCATCTTCATCTCGTGCCTGAAACCTCCTGGAAGGTTCCACGTGCACCAGGAGGGGGCACTCAGGGACCTCCCGGCATCCGCTCCATCTCTCAGCACCCCCTCCCTCCCACTCTTCATCAGCCCCACGGTCTGCTCAGGTTTCCGGAAAGAGTGCCTGGCAGCCCACGCTGGGCATGTGATGTCACCTCGCTGGGCCTCCTTTTCTTCACCACCGAAGGCGGGGATTAAACGGGTTCACACTCTCTGGCGGCTCCCTTTCCAGCTGAGGGGAGGCCAGTGCCCGCAAGCCCGAGCAGCTCCACAAGGGGGCGCGCGTGCGCCAGGGTATCCCTGGTGCCACCACGGAGGGCGGCTGGGGGCAGGAAGGGGAAGTGTCCAAGTCTCAGTCCCTGGGAGTCCGGGAGCTCTGGGATGCAGGATGCATCCTTTCACCTGGGGACCCTACTCCCAAGAGAGCGCCTATCCCTCCTCAGCTGCCAGGGATGAGACCACAGGCCAGAATTCAATCCGGGTGTCACCCATCCCCCTCTGAGCCTCAGGTTCAGAATCTCTAAAATGGTAACTCCCAGGCACCTCAGGATACAGTGAGGCTACTTAGGAGAAAAATACCAGGAAAGGGGACTCAACAAGTGCCATATGGGTTCCGGTCCTCAGTTTTTCCATCTGGGACAATGGGCAGCAGTTAAGCATCTGCTGCACAGAAGCTCCATATCTAATATACAGTCACAACAACGGGAGCAGACACCTGTAAAGCACCTACTGGGTGACGGGCATTGCCCACAGCACCTTATTAACTTCACCGAATTTCTCACAAGAAGGCCCCTTGATTATCCCCATTTCACAGATAGGGAAACTGAGGCAGGGAGCTGTTAAACCACACCAGGTTACACAGTTGGGATTCTAGCCAGGCCTCTGGCATAGGTCACGCACTCTTCTCTGTCTGCATATTACCCTTCAATTGTTAATCATTTTTCCAGGTAACCAAAGGAAAAGTAGAAAGGTAAATTGGATTTCATCCAGATTTTAAAATGTGGTGCATTAAAGATCACCAACACCCCAACACCGCCGAGAGCAACAAGACAACCCACAGAACTGGAGAGAATATTTGCAGATGACCTATCTGATAGGAGACTCCTTCAGAACAAAGATAACCTGGGTTGTATGTGGACATGCAGACCACGGAAATCCAAGCAGCCTGATTTTAAACGGACAAAGGACTTCAACAGGCATTTCTTCAAAGAAAATACACAGTGGGTCACTGAGCACACACACAGAGATGCTGGACGTCATTAGTCACCAGGGAAATGAAAATAAAAGCCTCCATCGCTGTCCCCTTTGCACCACCGGGGACTATTACTGAAAACACATGACAGGCCGCGGGCACGCAGGCAACTCGGCGCTTCGGGGCACTGCTGGCCAGACTGCCGAGCAGGACAGCCACGGCGGAAGGTGGCCCACCCCCTCCACCCCCGGGCAGGAGCCCCGGGAACAGAAGCAGGAGCGGGAACAGACGTTTGCACACAGCCCTCCAGCCGCCCTCAGCGGGGAGAGGGAACAGCGGGCGCCGGCCACGGAGCAGTGGACCTGCAAACCCGAGCCTCGATTCAGGCCCGCGCGGATCCTCAGCCACTGTTGTGCGATTCCACTGACGTGGACACCGAATAGGCAAATTCAAAGGCAGAAGGCAGGCCGGGGTTGCAGGGGCTGGCGGGCAGTGGCGGGCTGGGGCGCCTTGGGTACAGTTTCTGTTGGGAATAATGGGCGGATACTGGAGGTGGGTCGGGACGAGGCTGTAAACATGGTGCTCATACTTAACGACACTGGGCTGCAGGCTCCAAATGGTGAAAATGGTCGGGTTTTGCTATTCCTATTTAACCGGCCGCAATAAGATCCTACCGGTTTTGGCTGGATTGCTGCGGTTCCCTAACTGGCCTCGCGGCTCCCGGCCACCTACTCCAACCCCGGTCCGCAGTGTCCAGCAGGGGGCGCTGCAAGCCGCGCCTGTGGTGACTTAGGAACCAGCTCACCATGTCCCTGGCTCTTCAGGGCCTCCTGGTAACGCCAAGCCGGGACTCTGAGTGCACGGTCACCCTCTGCACTCCAGCTCCAGTGACATCACCACCATCATCACCCAACAAGCCCCAGGGCCTTTGCCCCTGCTCTTCCCCCTCTGCTCTACCTGCCTGGGTCTTTCTCCTTCTGCTCTCACTTCCTCAGAGCAATCCTCCTGACCACCTGGTAGGAAAGAGCCCTGCGGTCACTCATGACTCTGGGAACGCATCTTACTTTCTTCGCAGCCCTTGGTAACCCCCTACAGTCTTGGTCCCACCCTGGCTATCTTTGAGAGCCTGGCACCCCACGGCAGACCTGAGCAGCAGAGGGGCAGCCATGCCTTTCCTACTGCTGAACCCCAAGGGTCACTGCTCAGCTCCTGACGCTCAGGTGCCCGTTGATGCCTCTGGCTGCATGTGAGCGTCAGTACATGAATCACGAGCACCTGTCCTCCCGGGTCACGCACCTGCCTGGTTACAGTCTAGGAGTGACACAATGTGGAGCCTAGACGAATGGATTCCTTGCTCTAGAGCTTTGCATGAATAACTGCGGAACGACAGAGGTGGGCGTGTGTATGAACACACGAGTGGGTGAGTGGGAGGTGGGTAGGTGGACAGGTGGGGGCACACACACATGGTGAGTGGAGAGGTAACCAGGCACCCGACAG